TCGACTATCTGTGCGATAGTCATCTTCAGAGTCAAGTAAGGAGTAGTTGTCAGTCGATGATGTTATAAAGTCTGGTCTGTTGAACGTGATTGGTCTGTTTAGCCGTGATGTGATTGGCCGGAAGACTCATGTAGAGTTTGTTAACAGTCATTGGTCGGTTTCGATCCGTCTGTTGTTTGTCGGTCTGTTTGTCGGTTTGTTCATCCATGCATGCTTTGCGATCGCAGTTTCAGTCCCAGGCCCTTTTTCGTTTTGTTACCGGCGAATAGTATGCTTTCCAGTACAAAAGGGAACAAAATGTGACCTTGGCAAGGTACAGTCACAGTTTATAATTACATTCTATTACATAAAACTGAAATGAGGCCTTTGTTTCAGTTGGAAGCCCAACACGTAAAGTTTCCAACCCTTTTACTCCAAGGACTGACCAATAATCAACTCTCCCTAACACACTAGCAATACATCAATATTCTGATAAATATATCAAAAAACTGTATGAAAGACATTTAGAAAAATAATAATGAGATGTTAGGGGGTGAAATGGGTAGATAGGGGCACATAGTATAAAAGTTCAAATATTTTTTTCTGAAATTCATCTGTCAACAGGTAGATTCATAATAACAAATTAAATATTCTTCTAATTAAAAGACTGCGACTCCAAAGAGTCTGTATTCATGCATTAACCTAAATATTACACAGCATCATTCAACATTCCAAATTTCTGATTCTGTTCCATGTACTTTAAGGCCTTGAAAAATAAAATGAATCAGCATTGCGACAAGGAGCCTTTAGCAAAAGACCTCATACACAATGTATTACAAGAACAATTAAAGGAAAGAAACTAAACTGACCAGAGATTAAGGCTGTCTTAAAAAAACTACTCAGAAAGTTGTCAATTGCAGTCTGTCCTGAGGCCTGACAATATATGGATTTTGACATTTGCAGCCTGTGTTAGGCATTGAGATTCCACTTACTGAAAACTTGACATTCTTAAAACCTTACAACCAGTATGTATGAAGAGAGAGTCTCAAACAAAAAATGACAATAAAAGAGAGAGTCTGTTCTTGAAAGAGTTGAAATGTCTATACCCATATTTGGGTATAGAAATTTCATACCTTGATGTTTACAATTTATAGACACTGTCATTTATGAAAGTCTTCCGACTGAGCAAATGAACACAGGTACACTCTCACGTTTCTTGCCCAGGCACTGGCATAGAAGCCTGGCACTAACTGTGATTCTGGTGCTGGCTCTGTGTTAAGTGGCCAGTCCACCAAAATTAAACTTGCAAAAATATTTTTTCTGTCCACATTCTATCCGCATCTTCCTGAAGCCTGACAATATATGGATTTTGACATTTTCAGCCTGTGCTAGGCATTGAGATTCCACTTACTGAAAAACTTGACATTCTTAAAACCTTACAACCGGTATGTATGAGAGATGATTGGTTTTTAACTGATATAACATAGACAATTAGTTCTTGTGGCCTCTCTCAAGTTAAGCTCTGGAAGCTTCAGTTACCATTCAGTTCTGCTAATGCCATAATTTTTTTATGTTGTTCAGTTAAGAAGCAGATACTCTCCAACCTGGCTCTAATTGTTTTGCATTCCTTTGACTTTGAATGTCAAGTGTGCCGGAGAAAAGAGAAAGTAAATCCCTACTCAAATACACACACAGTCCTCTGGTGGTTACAGCAGACAACCGAAATGGGTCTGGCCTCCAGGTTTGAGACCTATTTAACGGCTCAGTGCACGTATCAAATAAAAGAAAGTAGAAACCATAACACATAAAAATAATATGAGCATATCATTGCTGAGGTACCAAAGGGTAAGACTGAAGCATGGGCAATCTGCACTGCATCTCTCCTCGGGATGCAAAAATAAACAAGCACTGAGAGGAGCACACAAAACTCTCTGCCCACCTGGGATTGCCTTCTCTGGGCTGACTGCATGAGGTTTGAATCCTCACAAGGGACTCAGATTGTAATGTTTTTTCTTTCACTATCCTACATATGATACCATTAGCTCTCTGTGATCCAACTTGATAATTATTTCTTTGAACAGCTGCTTTACAAATATAGACATGCCTGAAAACACAGAAACTGAAGAGCAAGATTAGCCCAGAACAGAGTGCGATGGCGAGGGGTCATCAATGGCCTATGCTCCACATGGTGTCACAGGCCTGAGTAAGTAAGTAAAGGGAAACAAAAGATTAAAGAAACCTCTAAGATGCCTTTACAAGTAGAAATTTTGGTAACTAAAGACAAGTTTACGAGAATAAGGAGGATTCTTAAAGTCAATTAAATGGTTATTTAGGTTTGCTTTCATGAGATCCTAAAGTGTTTATGAAATGGTTCATAAGGAGGCTCTCATTGACTTCTGAAAGCTCAATTAAAGATTCATTTCAGAACTTTCGCATGTCACCTAGAGATGTTTTAAATACTTCTCATGTTAACGTTTAAGTTACCTTTAAGGAAAATTAATTTAGTCATTTCATCCTGTGTGTCCAAAGGTGCCTTCTGTCTCACAAAATGGTTGTCTAGCTCTTGTTAAGTGGTTGAGTCAATCCCGAAGGCTGAAAGTGAAGAACCTAGATTTCGACCATCCCATCATTGAAAGAGCTCTTGGAGACCAATAGCAAATGAGTTCACATACTTTCAGCTTCAACATCAGCATCAATGATAGGCCGGCTACTGTGAGAGGACTGTTGTCCACTATCAGCTCAGTATATGTCCCTCTTGGATTCGTTGCTCCTTTCATTCTCATGGCCGATGTGATCCCTCAAGATCTCTGCAGGAAGAAGCTTGATTGGGATAACCGTATACTGGACAAAGATCTGAGAAGTTGGCAGACATGGTTATGCAAGCCACTTAACCTTGGGCACTTTCATATAGAACAATGCTTAAAACCTTGCGACTTTGGTGAAGTGACTTCATGCCAGCTTCACTTCTCTGATGCATCACAATGCAATTGTTTGTTGGTTGGTGTTATTGAAGTATATTTTGATGTAAATGACTATAAAGTTCCCGCTCAAAATGTCTGAGCGCGTATTTGTTTGTCAGTTAACGTTATTGAATATCGATACATATTCAAATATCCTAATTGAAAGTTCGATCAACACTAATGAAATGTATTCTAGAGTTAATGAAAAACTTATTTTCGCTATTGATATAACTTTTGGCATAAATGAAAGTATATTTTCTGGTAATGAACAGCAAAAGGTGTATTATCGTTTTTGTTCTGGTTCATTTTTACTGGGATACCTGTGGTAGCCCAGTCATAAAATGCCTTTAATTTCTTGTCGTCTTTTTTTTTCCTCCACCATAAAATGGACAAATTGAGCAATAGTACCCAGTGGTCATTGGGCCCTCAACACCATGACAAGTGTGATCCAATGAGGAAAAAGGTGTTCATATGCTGATCACGTGTGTTATCTTGATGATGATTGATGTTGTTATGCACAGACAGGGCCAGGTTACATGATGAACCACAAGATTCTTGCTTATAAAACTCTTTTACCAACCACTTTGTATTTGTTCTGGGGTTGTTGTTTTGGTGATGGATGTTCTACGTTTTTGGTTTACAATTGCCTTGAGCTTTATGGTGCAAATGCTCAAAATACTTACAGACACATACACAAGTCGTATTGTTCGCAGCCAATCCTCACTAAAAGATGTTATTGAGCAGTATTTTTGGAACGGATTGAATCGAGTACGCTTGAAAGCCATGAAAGCCTTGTATGCCTTGCATGCGAAGTATACCAATGTCTTAGTTGAAAAACGTACACTTGTTGAAAAAAGCAAAATCTTAAATCTGAAACCAAACTGCATATACTCTATGCAATCTATTGAACAACACTACTACCGTGAGACTTAAGAACAAAACTCTAATGTATGCAAACTGCTTATGAAGAAAGACGTCATGTTGGATTCACTTGATGCCAAGGAACGTAGCTAAGATAACAGTATGAATGATATTAATTTCATTAACAGAAAGGTGAATCTTATGTTTGTTTTCACTGTAGTTGTATGGATATTTTCTTTTAACAAATACATGATCCAAAATCCAGTGTTTTTGTGTATAATATTATCTATTGTTTATGCAATTGTCTTGTGGGCTGATTTCTTTGTAAAGTTGTTCATGTCAAAATATGCTCCTGAACAACCACCATTTAAGAACAAGATTGATTAGAGCAATGGATTACTTCAACAATACAACAGCTACTTTAGCAGGGGGTGACTGTAAATACCAAGATAGTATTGCCAGCCATTAACATTCAATTAATCCAAAAAAAGTAAGTGAAGAGACAAATTAACAAGATTTACATGAAAGAATTAACAAATACATGAAACTCCCCCTATGTTCCAACATTTTTGCTTTGCTTTGCCAGTTGTGATACAAGATGATTGTCATATAAAAATATGTCAATACTAAATGGTAATTTTGGTATTATTTCACATTCATCTTGTAAATTCACTTCTTAAAAACTTATCTCATAGTGAATCTAATGTTAATTGACTTCATTACTGTAAAAAAGCTTTTTTATGTCTGCCCTCAATCAAAATGGCTGCTGTGTTTTTATAGTAGTCATCCATTGGTAGTGACAACTACAGGAAAAAATATAAAATCCCAGTATTGTTAATTTTTTACAGTTAGCTATGTTTTACTTACAAATTTATTGGAAATGCTTGATTTCAATGCCAAAATCCAATATTATTATTGTTTAACATTTAAATACAGATGAGGGGTTCAGAACCATAGCGGGCTAACCCACCAAAATTTCAGATTCGATGTTATTGTTCCTTTCAACCAAATTTTGGACCATCTTTTTGATGGCAAAGTGGTCCAACCCTGAAAGGAAATGAGAGATTCTTTAGCCCCCTCTGAACATTGAACCACAGTGACTTTCGTCACAACACTTTGCGGAACAATGGGCTAACCCTTATACTGCTGACCATTTCCCCATTGGCTCAGACTTACGCAGTACCATGTGCTATCAACAAAATGGCAGACAGAAGTGAGCAATCTTCGAGCAACAATTCCTGTAAGAGAAAACTAAATCCTGAAGAGTGGAAGAGAAACAAAAGGACAAGTCTTTGTAACAGAGGTAAGGAATATGAAACAGTATCAAAGTCAGGCAGGAAACACATTTGCAGCAAAACAACTAGGTAAAGACTATCACTGGCTGCTGAAATGCTTTGAGAGAGTAACACAAGAACAGCATGAAAATGGTTCCGGAGGTTTTTTGAGAGCTTGGAGATTGGACTGCACAGAATGCCTTCTTATGTGGAAGTGTGAAAGTCAAGTCTCTTAAGCGAAGGATGCAAAGAAAGCTGAAACTTCTTGGCGCTCACAAAAAAATTATTCTTGTCAATATTACATAAACGACAACGGAATATCTACTCGGGTATTCAAAAAGGCTTTCTTGGCCATTTAAGCTATATCCAATGGCAGGCTTTTTTGCACTCTATCAACAATGCAAAGTGTGGGATCTCCACAAACAGATTAAAGGGGTAGACATGAGCCCAAAAACAAAACCCCTGAGGAGGATGTTCAGTTTGTGCAAGCTCACATTCAAAGCTTCCCAACTGAGTCAATTCATTGTTGTCGTAAAGATAATCCCAACTGAAGATATCTTTCATTGGATCTCACCATAAAGAAAGTGTATGATTTGTACATGGAGAAATGCAAATCAGAATTAAGATCCCCAGCAAAGGAAAATTCTGCCAAGAAATATTTAACACAAAATTCGATATATCATTTGGAAGCACCAAGAGTGATACTGTAACAGGTGTGACCTATTACTGACAAGCCTAAAAACTGAAATTGATGAGCAAAAGCGTATGAAACTGACTGTTCAGCTTGAGTTGCAGCAGCATAAAGCTAAATTCGGGTACAACAACAACCTGAAATCAGAGAAAGAACTTGCAACACAAGACCCAACTATCTCTTTAATCTCCTTTGATTTGCAACAAGTGTTGCCAACACCATATTTGAGCACGAATGTTGTAGTTTACAAAAGGCAACTTTCAGTGTATAGCCTGGGTGTCGCTGAAGTGGCAACAGGGAAAAGCTTCTTGCATATGTGGCCTGAGACTGACAGAGGAAGAGGTTCAGAAGATGTTGCATACACAAGAGCACCGTTGAATGCCTTTTCCCAGTAAACCATGGCAAAACATCCCCACAGATGTCAGTGATGGCGGTTGGTCACAGTTATATTTGCTCCGCTTCAATTTTATTTTTATTCATGTTCTGTTGTCTAAGTCATTGGTTGTGTCATCCGAGTACATTCCTTTTTGGTTTTTGTCGTGTTTTAAGCGATGGTGAAGTTGCGATGAACATTGATGAAATGGATTTGTACCTTGCAATTTGCTTGTCATGGATGAAATCGACCCGCCATCTTGGATTACAATCCTCAACAAGGACAAGTTGCTACTTTACTTCGTGAATACCTTACACACCAAACTCTATTTCTACTTTCAATGTTACTCAACTTAGGCTGGCAAACAGCGGTGACATCAATCCTAACCCTGGTCCTTCTAATTGCTGGTGATTTTAATTTTCATGTTGATGATACAACTGATACTGCGGCGGCTAATTTCCTGAGCTTATTGGAGTCATTTGATTTACAACAACATATTCGTAGTTGCACCCATAGAGCTGGACATACTTTGGATCTGGTCATCACTCGTGATGCTGAATATATTTTAAATGCTATTTCAGTTGATAATTCCTCAGAGATATCGGATCATTACACTGTTTGTGCTGATCTTCGTTTTGTTAAGCCTAATTGGGAAAGGAAGCGTATTTGTGGTCGGAAATTAAAAGCCATCAGCTTGGAGCATTTTCGACAAGATGTTGCAATGTCTCCTCTTTTGTCTGAATCATCCAATGATTTACTTGCGCTGCTTCACTTGTATAATTCAGAGTTATCTAGAGTTTTGGATAAGCATACGCCATTAAAATCGCGCATGGTTACCATTCGTCCTGCTGCTCCATGGTTTAGTGAGGAGATTAAACTGGAGAGAAGAGTTCGTTGCCGACTGGAAAGGAGATGGCGTAGGACTAGATTGCCCAAAGATCGTCTGCGTCTTATTGAACAAAATCGTATTGTCGATGAGCTATTACTCTCTGTCCGCTCACAATATTACACCAAACTTATTGATGATAATTGCCTTAATCAGGGGAAACTGTTTGGCATTGTCGGTAAGTTGTTACATCGGAGTCCTGCACCGCAGTATCCATCTTGCTCTTCCGTGGCGGATCTTGGTGAGAAGATTATTACTATTCGAAATGACCTGGAATCGAACCCTATACAGGGAACTTATTTATTTAATGAAGCCACAGTAGCAACAACTAGACTCCATCATTTGAGCTGTCCTTCATATTCTACCTTACTTCAGATTGTGCACCCTTTGGCATCAAAGTCTTGTGAACTTGACCCTGTCCCCTCTAGAATACTCCTTGGTTGTCTTGATCTCCTTTGCCCTGTGATCTGGAAAATTGTTAAGCTATCTTTGGAGACCTCTGTCATGCCCACTGAACTTAAACAAGCTGTAATTCATCCTTTGTTGAAAAAGCCGAGTCTTGATTACCAAGAATTTAAGAACTTTCGGCCGATCTCTAACCTCACCTTGTTGTCCAAAGTCATTGAGATAGTAGTGGCTTTGCAGCTTGTTGGCTACATTGACCACAATGGTCTGTGTTAAGTCTTTCAGTCTGCCTACCGTGCTCACCATAGCACCGAAACGGCTCTTCTCAGAGTCTACAATGACATTGCTATGTCCATTGACAATCAAAAATCTGTTGTTTTGGTTCTACTGGACCTGTCTGCTGCTTTTGATACAGTTGATCATTCTCTTCTCCTTGCTAGACTATCTACCCGTTTTGGCATTTGTGACCAGGCACTGGACTGGTTTCGTTCACATCTATCTGATCGCATTCAGTATGTCAGAATCCAAGATGTCTCTTCTGATGTGCATGCCTTACCTTATGGTGTACCTCAGGGTTCCGTTTTGGGCCCCTTGCTGTATTCTTTGTACACTTTCCCTTTAGGTGATATTGCAAGATCTCATGGTCTATCTTATCACTTTTATGCTGATGATACACAGTTATATTTATCTTTTGAAACGTCATCGCCTGAGGATACGTCAACATGTACATCTGCTCTTGAAGATTGTGTTAAAGATATTGACCTTTGGATGTTAAATAACAAGCTGAAGCTGAAAAGTGGGAAGACTGAAATTATAGTTTTTTCATCCTCCTATTGCCCACGTCCTGCGTTAACAAACCTGGTGATTGCCTCTGACACTGTTGACTGTTCAACTACTGCTAAAAATATTGGAGTTATTTTTAATAACTCTCTATTGATGTTGCCGCGCGTTACTGCTGTTTGCAGGTCTTCGTTTTTTCATTTACGCAATATTTTTAAGATTCACAAGTTTCTTTCTTATGATACATGTAAAACTCTAATTCATGCCTTTGTTACTGCAAGGATCGACTATTGTAACTCACTGCTCTACGGTCAGCCTAAATGTATCTTGAAACGTTTACAGAGTGTCCTGAATAGTGCTGCTAGGCTTATTCACCTTACTAGTAGACATGAGCATGTTACGCCGTGGCTTATTCAACTTCATTGGCTACCAATTGAACAAAGAATAACTTTCAAAATTGCAGTAATTACATTTAAGGCGCTTCATGGTGCTGCTATATCACTGATCTCATCAAGCCTTATACACCTGGTAGACTTCTTAGATCCTCCAATCAATTTTTACTTTCTACATCTAAATTTAATCTTAAAACTTATGGTGGCCGGTCTTTTACTATTGCCGCACCTTCTGTTTGGAATGCACTTCCATTCGAACTTAGATCTTGTAATTCCCTTTCTTCTTTTAAATCTAAGCTCAAGACGTGGCTTTTTAAAATTGGTTATGATGTTGTATAGAATGATGATGTTTCATAGGATGACAATGTAGTTTTGTAGTTTTGTAGGTTTAGGATTTTGTTCTTATTTTTATTATGTAAAGCGCTTTGGACCATTGGGAATTTTTATAGAATGACAATGTAGTTTTGTAGGTTTAGGATTTTGTTATTTTTATTATGTAAAGCGCTTTTGGACCATTGGGAATTAGCGCTCTATAAATACTGTATATTATTATTATTATTATTAGTATTAGTATTAAAACCACTCAGCCAAGACTTATGGGGCAAGTTAACAAAGTTACACATATCACGTTTTCTGCCAACGCGCCGGGGCAAACAAGCAGGACAATAGAAACAAAGATCCATTCCGGTCATTATCAGTGGAAGCAAAATGAATATTTCCTTTCCTTTGCTTTCTCCTATGGTTTCGAACTCCATCAAATCCGAAGAACATCGCTTGCATAAACCAACCAAGAACCAATTAAATATTCAAGTTCACACCTGACTGTTCACAAAAACCCAGAACCGGTTCAACCCAAAGTGAAACTCCCATTAAGGTTCCAAACCTTCTGGTCGCAAACGTTATGTCTCTTGTCCCCAAAGTTGATGAAGTACGGGAATTTATTTTCTGCAGAAATATCACTATCACGTTCATCACGGAAACCTGGTTAAAGGAGACCATGTCCGATGGAGTCATCGACATTCCGGATTTCGCTGTGCTGCATCTGGATAGGAAAAGAGACTCGCATGGAGGTGTGTGCGCATACATCAAAGAGGGCTACTGCAGATATAAACTGTTGAGGCCAATCCTCAACAAGAGAACAATTTTGTTTTCCTAAGTCCGTTCCATTCCATTTTTGAAATTATACTCCCAGCATGCTTAGTGAGCGCGTCTCAGTGTCGTCGTGTAGCGAGAAAGAAACCATGTGCTAGTTGCCAGGAGTTTCTCATCATATGTTGAGTCTTAGGAGCTTGCGTATTTCCAAATCCCGTTCCAACAGTGATTAAGTGTTTGTTTTGTAGGTTTTTACTTGCGAGGTGAAGCTTGTTAGCCAAAGATGAGACTCCAATTCCGATCCTGTTGTGTTGTTAAGAAAATATGCTGAGTGTGCAACTCTCGATTATTAAACCTTGTGTTCCAGAACCCTTGTGTTGTGAAGGCGCATTCTTTGTCCTCTGGACATAAACATCTTAAAGAACTAAACTGCTGTGATGAGCACGAGAGTTTATGGCTTCATTTAAGACCCACTCGTCTCCCACGGGGGTTCTCCTGCATCATTGCTGCAGTAATTTACCATCCACCAAAGTTGGAAGACAGATCATTTCAGGAGCACCTGTTTCAATCCCTTACTCTGGTGGAATCAAAGTATCCCAACTGTGGTATCCTAGTAACCGGCAATTCAATAGTTTGGATATCAGTTGCCTGTTGAGGCACTTTTGCCTCCAACAAATCATGAAAGAGCATACCCGGAAGGACACTACCCTTGATCTTATACTGACAAATATGCATGATCACTACTTCCCCCCACAACCTTTCGTGCCACTTAGGTTGTCCAATCATAATGTTGTGGTGGCGACTCCATTGCACGGGAAACGCCACTTGCCCACTTCCCCCTAGAGGACACACCCAAATTTTTAACTGTCAGCAAAGAGCGTGTCCAGAAGGTCTTGACGAATCTCAATCAAAGCAAAGTGTCCGGGACAGATAACGTGCCGAACTGGCTTTTGAAGGAGTATTCGAACATCCTGGCCCTCCCCATCACACAAATCCTCAACGCATCATACCGTGAGCAGCAGTTACCCACCATCTGGAAGATGGCCGATGTTCCCCCTCTCCCTTAGAAGAAGCCCGTGCTAGACCTGAAAAAGGACTTAAGGCGGATCTCACTTACACCTTGTGTCTCTAAGGTAGCAGAGGAATTCGTGGTGGAAGATGTCATTAAACCAGCTGTTCTGGACGTGATTCATGGAAACCAGTATGGGGCGATCCCAAAGTCATCATCCACCATGGCCCTGATAAGCATGCTCCATGGTTCCTTGGGATGGACGGAAATGGGGCGACAGTGAGAACAATGTTATTTGACTATTGTAAGGCATTCGATTTTATAGACCACAGTATTTTAATTGATAAGCTATGTAAACTAGACATACCCCGCAGTGTTGTAAATTGGATCATAGATTTCCTTTCTGATAGATTCCAATGCATTAAGTTAGCCGAGGGCTGCTTTTCCAAGTGGGATCCAGTTCCCTCTGGGGTACCACAGGGTACCAAACTGGGCCTGTGGTTATTTGTCTTGATGATCAATGATTTAGATATCAAATCACCACTTATGTGGATATTTGTTGATGACACAACCGCCTCTGAGGTAATTCAAAAGGGAAATACCAGTAACGCCCAGGGTATAACCGGCAAATTAATCAAATCGTCCCGTAAGAACAGGGTAGTGCTAAATCCAGATAAATGCAAAGAGTTGAGAATCTTGTTTTCCCGGAACCCTGAGGCCTTTGATTCAGTGTCCATTGATGATAAGGAAATTGAAGTGGTAACCAGTGCCAAGTTACTAGGTATAACTATAAGCGACAACTTAACTTGGAACACCCACATGAACGAGTTAGTAAAGAAAACCAACAAAAAAACTATACTTTCTTGTACAGCTGAAACGGGCCCGACTACCTCACCTCTCGATGAGCTACAACAAAGCCTGCAAAGTTTTGAGGATAAAGCCAATAACCGAACACCATAGTCAGCTATGCACTAAACTGTTTGACGCCATAGTAGCCAACCCCAACCATAAGCTAGATGGATTACTGCCACAGAAAATTATTGGTTTATAATTTGATACAATCGTCCCTTTGTTTTACTGCGCATTCACACCAATAGGGCAAATAACACTTTGATACTCACAATGTCCTGGCTATTCAATGCATCTTCTCATAATACGTAGATTATTTCTTAAATTTTAGTTCAAGCATGAAAAAGTTTTACAAATTTAAACATTTTTACCATTATGTTTAACATAGATTTATCATAGATTATTATTGTCCTTTTAAAAGTTGTAAAAGTTACTTAATTCAGCCTTTGGGCTGCGATGTGATTTAAATGAACCATCTATCTATCTATCTATCTATCTATCTATCTATATTGGAGATGGTATTGGGCAGTGCATTAAGTCATGTCAGTTGCAGCAGTTGTGGGTCAGTGCAAAAAGACAAATATTTCTCAGCAGAGAGATGTTCTCAAATCTAAGCTTCAACAAGAAAGATAGTTGAACAAAGCAGTAGTTTAACATTTTTGCAGTGACTCCAATCACTTCTCTGAACAATTTCACTGAATGGAATTCCATTTTAAGGGACTTCCATGACAGTAGCTAGTCAACTGTGCATTTAGGTCATGTGATCAAAACTGGTTTGCGATCAATGAAGCCAGTCAACTTGTTTTGATGAATCTGCTATCAACACAAGAATACTTGGTGGTGTCCAGTGTCCCAGGGTTAGGATCCCATCTGTCCCACCTAGGACTCAAAGGTCATCCTCCATCCAGGTTGGATAAGCAGGAACCCATCTGTCCCACTTTGGACTTGCAAGTAATCCCAGCAGCAATCCCTCCTCACACCTGGGATTCCAGGTGGGATAGGTGGGATAGGTGGGATCTGTTCCATGTGGGACTCAAAAGACCCATGATTTTAGGTGGAATGGGCAGGAGCCTGTCTGTTCCACCTAGGATTCAGAGGTCATCCTACTTGCCAAGCTCATAAACATTTTTTATTCAAATTATTCTACTTATAAA